CTTCAAATGCATGAGAAAGGTCAGTGTTCAAGCAAATATATGTGCAAGACGTGCGGAAAGAAACACAATACTTTATTGCACTTCGAAGCAAAAAAAGAAGCGAGGAACGAAACGCAAACAACACTGATAGCTACGACGTCAAATAATGTAACAACGGCCAATACGGATGGCAATTCATCGCAAGTACAAGTTTTATTAACAACGAAAAATGAAGCAAATTTATTACCAGTGGCGTTCGTGAATGTTTTGGCAAAAAATGGTGAGAAAATTTTAATGAAATCTATAGTCGATGGTTGTTCTCAAGGAGCGTTGATGACGGAAAACGCCTTTCAAAAGCTGAATCGATGTGCAGATAGAATAATTGCGGATGTAGAAGGAGTAGCTGCCTGCACTCAAACGGCAAAGAAAATAGCTCCAATTACGGTACAACCGCATTTCACTGACAAATATTCATTAGACACTGATGTAATCATTTTGAAAAAAATAACGAATCTTGCGTATTTTAAAGACGATTTGGCAAATTATGATCATTTACAAAATTTATTATACGCCGATCCAACGGTGAATGACGACGGTGAAATTGATTTACTGTTGGGAGTGGCTGAATTTTCTAAAATTGTTAAGCACGGTTTGATCAAGGGTGCCGAAGATTCGCCAATTGCAATGAACTCTGAATTGGGCTGGCTCATCATGGGTCCGCAAAGTAAAGAAGAACGTAACAACACTATGAAAATAACGACTTTAATTTCAAATGTGGAAATTGAAAAGAAAATCTCTGAATTTTTTCGTTTCCGAAGATGTTGACGGCATTGAGAGTGAGGACAATGAGCCAGAAATGTCTGAAGAAGAAAGATATTGCGAAGAACATTACGTAAAAAATACAAAACGAGACGACGATGGCCGATTGAATGTTTCAATGGCATTTAAAAATGAAAAATGGCCAGAGCTTGGCGATTCGCGCAAATCGGCTTTAGCGACTCTGTTCCAGTTAGAAAAAAGATTCGAAAAAAACCAAGAATTAAAGAAACAGTATAGCGCCGTAGTGAAGGAATCCATTGAGAGTGGACATTTAGTTGTGGTAGAAAATCCGCCAAATGAAGCGCATTACATTCCTCATCACGCAGTGTTCAAGGAGAGCACAACCACAAAATTGAGATCAGTGTATAATGCGTCACAGAAAACTTCAAATGGTAAATCTTTAAATGAACAGCTGGCAGTCGGAAAAATTGTGCAACCGTCGATCTTCGAATTAATGCTACGATGGAGAGAATCGAAAATTGCAATCGTCGCTGATCTTGAAAAAATGTACAAACAAATCAGACTCAATGAAAAGCAGCAACATCTTCAGATGATTTTGTGGCGTAATTCGGGCACTGAGCGCATCAAAAGCTATAAAATGACAACAGTTACGTTTGGATTAAAAAATTCGTCATTTCTCGCCATAAGATCATTGCATGAAATTGCAAAAATAATCGAAAATAAATATCCACGAGCAGCAAAAGCAATAATGAAATGTTTTTACGTCGATGATTACACGGGCGGAGCAGAATCTGTCGAAGAAGCATTGTGCACGTATCGAGAAATGAAAAAGGCATTTGATGAATTTGGCTTCAATTTACGCAAATTAGTAAGCAATTCGACGGAGTTATTAAAATGTGTGGCAGGTTGCGACAAAGAAGAACAAAATAAATCGTTCGTGAAAGCATTGGGTATTCCGTGGAAACCTGAAACCGATGAGTTCATTTTTCAAATCACTGTTAATTTGAAATCAAAACCAGAAACGAAGCGACAATTGTCCTCTGAAATCGCGTCATTGCAATATGATCCTCTTGGATGGATCGCTCCGGTCATTGTCAAAGCAAAAATATTGTTTCAAGATGTGTGGCAATTAAAAAAGGAAAATAAAAAATCGTATGATTGGGATGACAAATTGCCAATCGAAATCATCGACCGTTGGATGTTGTTTAAATCACGATTGAGTGCATTGAGCTCAATAAAAATGCAGCGGTGGCTTGGTACTACAGTAAATACAAAAGTAGAGGTGCACGGTTTCTGCGACGCTTGTAAAAAAGCACTTTCTGCGAATGTGTATGTACGATTTGTAAACGAAAATCAACAAGTAAACGTAATGCTAGTAGCAGCAAAAACGAAAAATGCTCCAATGATTGAACAAACAATTCCGAAATTGGAGTTATGTGCAACCGTTTTGCTGGTAAAATTGGTGAAATCCGTACGAAAAGCAATGAGCATGAACATTGAAAAAACTGTTCTTTATAGCGATTCAAAGGTCGCATTGGCGTGGATTGGTTCAGATCCACTACGATATAAAAAATTTGTCGCGTCAAGAATAAAAGAGGTGAACAAGTTAAAAGATGCACAATGGTGCCACATCCCGGGCGCAATAAACCCAGCAGATTGCGCATCGCGTGGGATTTTTGGTGATGAATTAGTCGATCATCCGTTGTGGTGGCACGGGCCACATTTTTTAAATGGAAAAATGAACTATGATGTTCAATCGGAAGGCAATATCGAAGCAATTAACGAAGAAAAAATTCATGCTTTAGTGGTGACGAGTGAAGAAAAAATGAAAAAAAAGTTATTTGTTGACGATTCAAAAATCATTTGGCCTAACATATCGTCATGGAAAAAAATGCAAAGAGTGTTTGCATATATCATTCGTTTTGTTGACTATTTAAAAGCAAAAGTGGCACTGAAAAAAGGCATCAAATGCCAAAACGTAGAAATAAAAGTCGAAAACAAAGGTGCTCCGATTACTGCGAATGAAATAGAAAAAGCAACGAATTTTATCATTCGTATAGCGCAAAGTGAATATTACGAATGTGAAGTGAATGACCTGGAAAAATGCAAAGAAATCGAAAAAACCAGTGAGTTATTAAAATTGAACGTATTCATCGACGAAAAACGCATATTACGCGTCGGCGGCAGAATCACCAACGAAGACATTCCATTCGAAATGCGTCATCCGATTCTAATTCCAAAAAAAAGTGAAATCGCAAAATTAATAATTCGTGATGTGCATGAAACAAACTTTCATACTGGTCCCAAATTAACAGAAGCGTTGATTCGAAAGAAGTTTTGGATCACCAATGGGCAAACGACGATCAAAAAGCAGCTCAAAAAACTGCGTCATTTGCAGGAAATTTCGCCCGAAAACAGCTCATCAAATGATGGGCAATTTGCCGACGACGAGGACAACAGTCGTGAATAAACCGTTCACGAATACTATGATTGATTTCACGGGAGCGGTATACGTAAAAACATCGAAACTTCGAAATGCAAAGATTGTGAAAGCATACATATGCATATTTGTGTGTATGGCAACAAAAGCCATACACGTCGAGCTAGTGAGCGACATGACGGCAGAGGCGTTTATTGCCGCTCTACGACGATTCATCGCGAGAAGAGGTGAAATAAAAACAATAAACAGCGATAACGGAACCAATTTTGTTGCAGCGAATCGATTGTTACACGAGTTAACAATCATCGAAAAAGAGGAGTTCAACGATGAGGTAGCAAATGAGCTCACGACACAAGGCATCATGTGGAAGTTTTCACCACCAGCGGCACCTCATTTCAACGGCCTTGTAGAGGCTGGCGTAAAAACAATAAAAACGCATTTGAAAAGGGCATTGGGTGAGCAAAAATTCACTTTCGAAGAGCTATCAACATTACTGGCTCAAATCGAAGCAGCGGCAAATTCAAGACCACTCACACCTATGTCTTGCGACACAAACGACAGCACGATACTAACACCAGCGCATTTTTTGCTAAATTCATATCCAGTAGCAATTACAAACGAAAATTTTGATGAGGTGAAGTTAAATTGTCTCGATCGTTGGAAAAAAGTTCAGCAAACGGTGAGGCAGTTCTGGCATCGCTGGCAGAATGAATATCTGCACACAATTCAACAAAGAGCAAAATGGCACACGCCAAACGACGCAATAAAAAAAGACGACTTAGTGCTGATAAGTGACTCAGCACCTGTGGGCAAATGGCCCATGGGCAGAGTGTTAGAGGTTCATCAAGGACAAGATGGACTCACGCGAGTGGCCACCGTTAAAACGGCCAACAACACGTTAAAACGGCCAATAACCAAATTGGCACCATTACCAATCGACCGTAGCAGTCAAACATCGACAACGTCCATCAGCGAAGAAAAAGAAAAAAATGAAAAAATCAAAACAAAAACCGTTAACCAAACTTTGATTTCGCTGCTAGTGATCGTTGCATTAGCCACAATGACA